ATCTACTCATTGAGTAGGTTACAAATTACTGAAATGGTCAATGGATAATATTTTATCAGAACCACTATTCTCTGCGAACAATCGATCCATTTACTTACCTTTAACGGCCCAACACAAGTTGACAAATTATTACATTTTTCTCAATAATATTTCTACTTTTACATTTTAAAAGAATTAAAATTTAGGAACTTTTTCTGTGTTGATTACGAAGAAAATGTAAAATTTACTATACGATAGTACTTTAGATTAGAATATTATAGATAATTTTTCAATAATATCCATAATATCTTCAAACTTCAAATCATTTAATATTTCTTTTTTAACAAACATTAATAAGAAAGCTTCTAAGCGACGATTAAATGACAAAGTGCAAAGCTAACTGTTGATAATTTTAAATTCACTAAATACAATTAACTTGAGTCGTAATTAATAAGATTAGTATGTATATTCCATAACTACATACAAATTAGAATATTTATTCATATATAAATTAAGCGAATGAAGATTATATTTTCTAGGGCATTCTTATATTTTTTTTTTATCATGCATAGAGATGATCAAGTATTCACATTCAGGTTCTAAAAAAAAAATTGTTTATTTAAAATATTTTAACACAAATAAAAACATAAATAATAATATTTAGTAGTTGAATTTGATTAAAAAGTATAGTTTAAAAACAATTACATATTTTTTATTTTTTATATACCTGTCATAGATAGAAAACATTTTTCTTGTTAAGGAAAAATGTATGCATAATCTATATCAGTTACTGCCAAGTCATCATCATCGACATCATCATTATCTGTATCTCTGTCATACATACAATAGTTATAGATCAATAGTTTTTTTTACATAATGATTTCGAAATATTATCATAAACAATGTTATATTTGAATATAATGAATAATGATAAATGAATGCATACGAAAAACGGTTCTAAGCGAAGACAGTCTGCCACCTTAATTATAACTAAGAAATAAGAATATTTTATTTCATAATATATAAAAGATAAAAAGTTATTTGAAATTTATTTATCTTTACTTGTAGAGTTGTAGTACGGTAGATTGAATTGAACCAGTGGCGTATATAGGGGGGGGGTTTAGGGGTTCAAGCCCCCCCCCCGAAATATATAGTTGGTATTGGCCTTGATTTTAATTGTTATAATATTATATCATATTATTTAATATTATTATTATTATTATATAATGTCAGGATTTCTATGAAATACTACAAGATAACGACGCGTCGTAAGTCGTGACGGACCGCTGCGAGTCGTCGATGGTCTATATACATATAATATATAGTTAGTATAGAAGTCTGTGTTCAATATACGACGATAATCTAAAGACGAAATTATCGATATTATTATTTCTTATTATTTGGTTGTTAATTATTATGAAGAACCAGACAAACAAAATTTAGTTTGTTTTCGTACGTCAGTTGTTTCGTTAAGTGTCGCGTGTGTAACAAAATATTAATTATTAAATATGGCATCACAACCTTCATTATTACATTTTTTTAATAAAAAAGTAGCTGTGACTGAGCCTGAAAAACATGATGATAATCCTTGTTCGTCCACTACTATCAATAATAGCAAAATTGATAGTAATACTGATTTAAATGAATTAAATGTCTATAATTATTAAAATAAAGTTAGTTTATAATATTGATTAGGTAAATACATTTTTTTTAACCCCCCCGAAATTAATTTCTATATACGCCACTGAATTGAACACGTGATTTAATATTTTCCAAAAACAAATTTTAGAAGTATATTATATTTACATGATAATATAATAATTATTATGCTATTAATTTATACAAAACTATGATAACTGTAACTAACTTTAGAAATATTTTTAGACATCAAAATATTAATACATTATACGCTATATGAATACCATTTATATTGGTGTGAAATATAGGTTTGCGGTATAAAAAACTTAAAATTCAACTAAATATTTTGAAAATTTCATTATTTAAGCATAGTAAATAAATAATATTCATACTACTACTACATTTTTAGTCTCTACGAATAACATTTTTAAAATTAAACAAAATAATGAAAATTTCTCGTTTAAATATTACTCGACTATTTCAAAATTTAAATTTAAATTTCTATAAAATAAAATGGGTATTTTGTTTTTGTTCATAGATTTCTAAAAAAAAACAACTTAAGAAAAACCTTATATTATACTATTAATAATTTATATTTTCCAGTTTCTTTTACAATACCAAAAAACACTCAAAAAAAAAACCAAACTAAAAAAATTCGAAAATTTTAAATTTTTGAAAATAGCTTTAAAATAGTTTAAATATTTTGAAACTTTTTTTGTGTAAATAAATTTATGTTTTGAGTATATAATAGTGACTAGAATGTTTCAAATTCTTGATATTTTTATTTTTTGAAAAACAATAAAAATTGTTATTATAATACGTTTGAATATCCGATGTTGGCAAAATTTGAACTTTAACCGATTTTTTTTTTTTAAATATATTTGTCTTAACGCTAATCTATTTTTAATAAAACTATGAAGAATATCGTACTATATTTTCAAATCTGTGTTTTAAAATTAAATTTTTTTTATTTAAATTTAAATTTTTTATTGATAAAAACTGAATAAAAGTCAAAAGTGTTAAATGTCTTTAGGTGACAAAAAAATAATTAAAAAATATTTTGAAGAATACGTATATCATGTTCCAATAATGCTAGTACAAATATTTATCAAAAATTTCAAGTTTACCTATCATTATCCACTTTTAAATTAGATACAACAAAATAATGAAATATATTATTTATTTTTTTTGAATATTTGATAAAATATTTCCGTTTTTCCCGGTAAATTTTAACTCCCGAAATTACCAAAAATCACTCTGAAAGTTGATAATGGAGATCTACTGGTTTTAAAAGTGATGAAAAACAAAAAAAAAACAATACTTTATTGTAAAATTGATACATTCATTGCTCCTCTAATCAAAATCAAAAATAAATCAAAATAAAACACTATTTTTTAAAAATGTATGAACGTTCTGAGCTAAGCGTGATTAAAAATTTAATATCTTACAAAAGAATAACAAAAAATGTCTTTAAATTACTTGAATTATTAAAATATAATACATTCATATAGAAAATGATAGATTTTATTTTTAGTTAATGTTATAAATACTTAATGATTTTCAATTATCTAGCATTGATTCTTTTAAAATTATAACAACATAACCAAAATATTGTTGTTTTATAAAATACAAACGTGTCATAAATTGGGATAAATTTAAGTCGTTCATTCTGCATTATTACACATAAAAACGTGATAAAATATAAAAAATTAACATCTTTAGAAATAATTTACTTCTAATATTATTGTAATATTGGATAATCAACTTACTTACTCAAGTAAGGTTACTTTGCAATTTTGAAATATATTATTGTAATTTGTATGTTATGAACACTTGGAAAATGCACGTATGAGCAATACAACCATGTTTTATGATTGTGTATTTGTATATAATTATTAGTTACTAATTTATTATAATATATAATAATAATAGTAATATTATGTAGCATGCAAGTAATTACATATATATTTACAGAAATCTCTCTATAGTGTCTAATTAAAAAAAAATCTATTGTACGAAAGTATGATATTATGATTCTTGATGGTTTAATTTTATAAATTAAAATGGTAATAATTGTGTTAATTATATGGGGAAATGTTACGTATATAAATTGTATTATAAATAATTATTGATTGGTATTAGTTTTGGGATCCCCGATAACTATCCAACTATGAACGATAATATCTTCATCGTACGAGTAAATGAGACTATTGCAAATTACTAGTATAACTCATTGATTTGATAGCAATAAGAAAAGACTACGACTGTTCACGCCAACTGCTTGTAGGTGCCTAGACTTAGCGAAAAGTTCAAAGAAAGTATACTTGAATCATGAAATTTACAACAAAAAGGGATAGGTGCGTGTTTTTTGTCTAGGTATAGGTGATATACTCAATAAATTGTTATAATTCTATCCTAATAAAATAGCTATGTTAGTTGATTATATTGAAAATAACTGTACAGGTAAATCTGTTAAGTATGGTTTGGCCTTTGGGACTAAAAATAATTAAATCAACTACAACAATAATTAATAATAATTTTGTAAAGGCTAAAAAGTTTGATCCGTCTATTTTTCGTTCGTTTAGAATTGCTATATCATGGAGAAAAACTGCGTCATTGATTCTCCTATATATCACAAATTGGGCACATACTTTTGAAATCAGTTAATCGTGGTATAATTTAGGAAATTGTTTTTCATTATTCTAGTTATATTTGTTATAGTCTCGATGTTAAGGCCGCGTGCATTTATGTCAAATGTATCTAAATAGGCGTAATTTGAAACGGCATAATATATATATTTATTTAATTAATTGTTTCAATAAATTTTTGTTTTTACAATGATTCAAATTCAAATATATTATATTGTACATTATCATAAATATTTATTTTAATCTATTATATTTATATTTGATTTACTTTACTAAAAATCATTTAATTTAAAATCACGGTTATCCCGATTAAAACCTTTGTAGCTTTGTCATAAAATTATAAAATATTTATTTTTTTTTTATTACATAATATATTAAAATTATTGTTTATTTTTATTTATTGTCTAAATAATTTAAATTAAAAAAAAAAATAGAAATATAATTTGAATTTAAAAAAATGGAGGTATTATTGTAGATATATTTCATTAAGAACCAATGAGAATTGTTTTTGATAGTATTTTTGTTCATTCATTTTGATTGGTTAATATATTGGGTGATAACAGTACAATTTGTTATAATTATTGTAATTTATGATTTTAGATTTAGAAAATTTGTTAAATTTGTTAAGAATATGGGACATGGGTTGAAAGTTAAGATTCTTATAATTTAGATAGTTTGTTAATTTATGCATTTGCTTAAAATTCCATTTTTGATGTTAACGTATTATTTAACAAATATTTCTTAAAACTTACTCATAAATAACATAATATTAAGTGCTCTTATTATTTTATCATATTTTTTTTTTGTTGACTAATGAATTGTAGTTTTTAGTTGTTCTATATAAAGGTAAGAAAATACATAATATTAACAGTTTGATGCCTTCAAAATTTAATGATAATTATGATTAACATTTAATTTACTTATCTTTATTTGGTTATCTAGATAAAAAATGTCAGACCGCAAAGCAGAATTAGAGAAAAAGAAAGCTAAACTGCAAGCCATCAGAGAACAAAAAGAAAGACTTCGTAAAGAAAAAGAAAAAAAAGATGTATGTTATATTTTTAACGACTCGTATTACACACCTCATACTGTTAAAATTTAAAAGTTGTACATAAATTAAAAAAAGTAGTACTTCGAGGAGTTTTATTTTATTTTTTGAGTTTTTAATTTTTAATTTTAACAATAAACTGTCATTTAATTGGTTAATTCGATACTACTTTTTTTTTTAAACTCAGTAATAATAATAATAATAAGTACAAGTACATTTCCATTCTATAATCATGTATTTTTTATGTTAACTGAGTTAATATTTTAATATTTAAAATTAATAAAATTTATATTACCATTAATTACTATATTAAATAGGGAGATGAAGCAGTTTCCCGTGGTATTAGTGTTGAAAAAGATCAAGGTAAAGAAATTGATGAAATGTTATCATCCCTTGGAGTTGCACCAGTTTCAGGTATATGTTGTTTAAAATATTTAATTATTTATCAAACTTTATTTATTTTTAAATTGATTTAGATGTATTGTCAAGTTTGACTACTTCACCTAATAAAAATGAATTATTGTATAATTCAATGTCAACTCCTGATTCTAGTGCAAAAGGATCATTACCTCAAACTCCAGCAACTGGGTAAAATTGATTAAAATAAAATATTAATGTTTATAAATATTTATATACATAAGTTTTTGATTGAAATGTTGTTCCTTGATAAAGTTTTTTGCTGCTGCATCAACAGCAAACTTGCCTTTTAATCTATTTATATCAATAAGTTAATATTGAAATGAAAAATATTTACTAGTACTGTTCTAATGCAAGTATGGTGACCTTTTGAATATTCTAATTAATTACTAGTTAATGATCATCAATAAATAACAAGCAATGGTGTACAGAGAAAATTTTTAGAACATGAAATTTATTAAAGTATGCCCACTAATCCAAGTTTTATATTTAAATTGTCTTTCTTTTCTCAGAAATTATACTTGCAAAATATTTTTTTAAATAAACTTAAAATATTTTAGTTACCTTAGTGTACCTTAGTGATTAAATATTTAAATAAATTGATAAATCATTATAGTCTATAGAAATGAATTATTACATGTTTTATATAAAGTGTAGTAGTGAAATAAGCAATTCTAAAAAAACTATAAAAAAAACAAATAGTAATTTTTTTTTTTTAATTATTTAAAATACCTAAAAAGTTTTTACATAATTTTTGTAAATGATATCCACAAGATGACATCTAACTCTAAGTAAGCTTATTTTAAAATCGACTATTTTATTGTCCCACCTTATTTAAACTTCCCTGTGTCACCAGTAATTTACACCCATCTCCTTCAAAATTACATACAGAAATCTTTCTAGGATTTAAATACTCAAAATAAAATAATTTTTTTAATATATTTTTTCATTGGTAAAAGTTTAATAAATTTAATAAAACAAACATAGTCAACGAATAATATTGTTTTCTAAAAGTATTTATCTAATATGGATTAATACTATTAATAGTTAACCAATCTAAAAATATAATTTTGTCGTCAGTCCTAATTCTGTAATTGAGAAGAAAAATTGTAAACCTATTCTTCTCAATTGATGCATAATAATGTAGTGAGAACTATATCTTACATTTATACCTTATGAGTTCTTAATTTTATTTCAATTGGGACTCAACTTAATGATATTTTAATTTTTAGCCCAAAGCCTACGAAGAAAATTCGTGAGTTATCAATTGTTTCTCTATCTTCTACAAATATACCACCTAAAGAGGTAGAATGCTATACTAAAGCTGTTCAGACTACACATTCATCAAACGAAAGAGACGGTATACTTCATATATATTTGATATTTTTATTCTAAATTAAGTATAAGCGTGAAACTAAGAAATGTATGCATGATGATTTAGATTTAATTTTCTTTAAGCAATTTTACTTAACAATTTGTACTTTATACAATAATAGTCACTTGTTGTATTTATTATTGTTATGCTGCACTGGTTTATGGTAAAATAAATTAAAGGATCCTGCACTTCTTCCCCTCTTAAAGGTTATTTTGAAGATTGGTGGAGGCCTAGAAAAGGTTAGATTCACAAATTTCCAGTAATAGCCTAGTCTTATAATTGACATTTTAAAACCACTTATGTTTAATCCAGGTGGTATACCTGGATAAAAATATAATATGCTTAATAACCTTACGTTTAAATTTTATTGTTTAACATGAATATAAAAAAATATAATAATAAAATTAAAAGTATCTATTTATCATGCATATTTAAATGGTAATATTATCCATTAAAATGTACTGATAGTTGTGTGTATATCACTTGGATGATTATTTTTTTAACTGTATAATTATATTTATGTGTTATTATTTTTTTTTTTTCCATTTGATGGGGACAATATCGGAAATCATGGATCATTCTCATCAACAGCACAAGCATTTGGATATTACGGTAAGCTATTATTTAATATGAATATAGGAATAATATTTACAATTAGACCCTTTAGAAATATAATTTTCAAAAATAGTTATCATGCATGGTATATGTTTTAAAATGCTGTAGTTTAATTTCTGTAGTTAATGGACGTAATAAAATTGACTACATTAATAATTTTATCGGCAAAATATATTAAATTTCAAAATAATTACAATAATAATAATTCAATTGGATAAAATTATATATTTATTACACAAAGTAATACTAGTTTATAAAAGTATATTCTTAATAATATTAAATTACATCTAACAATAATTATAATCATGATTGTGGGAAAATATAACTTTCTTCATATATTCATAATTAATTAACGCAACCATCCAATATAGGTGGTCCATATAATTTGAAAATATTTTCATTTGATTTATTTGGTTATTTGTGGATTTTAATTTAAAGTTAAATTGAAAACTATTAATATTAAAATAACTATTTACTAACAACGATCAATTTATTACTTCATTTATATTACTATTGCACTAATGCACTAGTCACTATTATTTTTATTATTTTTACTTGCACTGATCTTTTTTTTTTTTTTGCTTCATAGATATTAAATATAATACTCAGCAATAAAATGTATGTTTTAATGAGATTCATTATTTATACATTTTTTTTTTTTTTTTTGCAAGAGACTAATAGAGTATATAATTTGATATTAGAATTAATTTTGTTATCTATCAAAAACTGCTTGGAATGTGGTATAAGCTGTATATTTTGTAGTACAACTACTGAACAGTAGAATAGTAGATTTTAATACTGGTTTATTATTTATTATTTACTAAGACATTATATCCCTTTGCGTTGTTTCTGTGTTACAAATACATAATAGTATATTGTACTTTTTGAATAATTTATTTAACTCTATTGTGTTTATATTTGAGTGAATTGCCCAATTTTAAATTTGAAAGTAAGATTACTATCTAGTGAATCTAGGTGATTTCATGGATTGTTTTTATATTTTAATTTTAAAGTTATTTATTAGGTAGTATTTTAAAATTTAAATTTTTTAGTACATTTTAAAATATTTATAACTTGTATTAAAATTAAAATTAAAAAAAATCCTACAAGATTTACTATATAATATTTTTACTTTAAAATTTGATAATAAGTCAATTCACTCTAATATTAAGTATAATAGAGTTAAATAGATTAATTAGGATACAGTTTTTGGTTATTAAGCATTTGTAAGATAGAGAAAATACTTGTGGTTATAGTGTCTTATTAATTATGTGTTGAATATAATTATTCACAATTATATTACTACAGTAGATATGTTTCTTTATTTATACATAAATAATATATGTTTTAAAAATAAAATATGATTAAATTATAATTAAAAAAATTTATTTTGGTTGTTAGCTTATCGCAGTTCTTTATTTATATTTTTGCTGAAAAAAGGATTAAAAGTTTTTTTGGGTTATAGTTATTGAGTAATTTTTGTTTTTTATATATTTGATGAAAATTGCATTTTTATTTATATACAAAAAATTATGATTGTTAAAGTAATACAATTAATATTTTCTCAAAATATAAAATTATTATTACAAATTGAAAATGTTAATATTAACTACTAAATAATAATTAAATTATAAGCAAAATTAAACAAATATATGAGAATTCGCAATTATAATTTAAATTAAAACATCCTTTGAAAATTAAAAACTAAATTTTTTTTCAAACACAATTGATAAATTAATTTAATAAATGTATAATGTTTTCAATTATTATGATTATCTATGATTTTCTGGTTAACATAATTAGATCATTATGACTACTAAAAAATGGCTGATCAACATTTTTATTGTTATTTAAGTTAATAATTTAAAAAAACTTATAAAAATTGGTTTAATGGAATTCAAGCATGTATGACAAAGAATTTTCAACTTAGAGTAAATTTTAATTTTCTATATTTCTATAATGCATTTAAATATTTTGTTTTTGTTGTGTGTATCATATTATATTTTATTAACTATTTAATTGTATACGATTTTTACTGCATACATCAATTGTTTTTGATACAATATTATATGTTATAATACAATCTTGTATAGCAACTTTAAGTCTTAATTTTTTTAGAAGTTATATAAATAAGTTAGGTGAATTACTTCTTATTAAATAATGGTGTTCATATTTTGTAGTCAGTAAATTGATTTCTGATAGCCATTGGTAGTTATCTACCCTGTAATCAGGTAATTGTGTTAACCAAATAGTAACATAAAATCTTATAAGTTAATTTTTTACCGTCTTATTATTTTACTAAAAGTTAGTACTTAGTAGTACTTATTTTTTTTTATTATAATAACGTATCACTTATTCACAAAAAACAACATATTAATAAATTTAATTTTTAAATGTTTATTTTTACGTATTTTACATTTTACTGCACTTGATTGTAATTTATAAATATTTGTAAATAGTATGTAGATGCTTTTGGTTTCCTAAAATAGTAATTATTTATTAATTTATACTAGTTTAAGTTAAACTTTCTGAATTTTTTAAAATAATGGTTTATTATTTTATTTTCTTGGTAGTGTATTAGTTATATTAATACAATTGATAGAAGATAATTCTGAATAATTCATTATTTATATTATGTATTAACATTTAAAATATATTCATTATTATATTTAAATACACTGATATACATAATATATTGTTACTATTATTATTATTAATTTTATGCAATAGTATTAGTGTATAGGGTTATCGTAAAAGGTTAAGCAGGGAAACATTTTACTGGAAATAATTTATTCTTTGTATACTATTTTAAGAAAAAATATTTATTAATATTTTATTTTACATGGTATATGTATTTCCCTGCTTTTACCTTTTAATGAAATCTATTTAATTTAAGTTATATTTATATAAAAAGTGCAAAATTGATGCCTCTTGCAATTAACTACTTCACGGTGGTGTTTATGTCGTTTTGCTTGTTTTTGTTCTTTTTTCAAGACGAATACAACTTAAATCCTGGCTTGGAATGGGAAGACGAATTTACAGGTAGGTACATCAGCAAATACTTTAAAGCATTTTTTGTATTTGTAATTTAATTAGGTACTTAAAAATATAATTTTTAGTTTATAAATTATACTTTTATTATTTTTAATTTAAATTTGGAATTAATTTATTTTGTTGATGGAGGTTGCGTTAATTTTAATGTTATGTATTGTAATCTATTCAATAAACAACAAGTGCATATGATATTTGTGTATTACCTGATATGATTCAGAAAACTTAATTTTTTTTTTAATTCTATTCCAAAAATAAACTGGGTTTTGAAGTACTTATTATTATTAACAACATTTTTCATTTTATTCACTTTCATTTTGTACATTTTACATATTTATTTAAATTTAAAAAAACTTATTTCAATTTTTGAGTACTTAATTTTTTTTTTTTATTTTATCATCTGAATCTTATTAATTATACATTACCACAATGCTTATTCAAAGCCTCCTTTCATATTATAAAAGTTAACCTTATGTTTTTGATATTTGCTTAGATTTTTTTCTTTAACATTTTTATTTTTATTTAATTTTAATTATTGGCAGAAATATATTTTTAACATAATCTAACCAAATATAAACTATTTTGGATGCAAATTAAATATGTGTACTGTAAGCATCTATTGCTAGCTATTCCTAAGTAATTAACAGACAGTTCTTACGTATGATGATGGTTCTGGTCAAGCGGAGGATGAAGATATCAGTCTTACAAATTTGTCTACTTTCCAAAGCAAGCTGCCACCAGGTATTCTATCTCAAGGACTTCCTCAAGTGAAGGAAGTTGCACCAGCTGTTACTTCACTGGAGAGAGAATTAGTTGTTAAAGAAGAACCTAAGAAAGGTAAAATAACTAATAGGTTATTAGATTTGTATGATATATGAAATAAATTGATTTGATCATTATTTAGTTAGAGAATTAAGTGATGCAGAGAAAATGATGATTGTTCATTCTGAAGATTTTCAACAATTTATGGACCGTGCAGGACGTGTGATGGAACGAGCTTTATCTGAAAATGTAGATATTTATACAGATTATACTGGTGCTTTAGATGACAATGATATAAAGTTAGTGCAAACTAGATTAAAAATTATTAAACTTTGTAAATTATTTATGTTTTATATTTTAGTGAAGACAAAAGTAGTACCCGATTATCGTTGACACGTGTGTTTTATGATGAACATTGGTCTAAAAATCGTTTAGTTACATCTTTAGATTGGTCTCAACAATTCCCTGAACTTACTGTAGCATCATATAATATTTCTGATGCACCGCATGAACCTGATGGTGTAGTTCTTGTATGGAATACTAAATTTAAAAAAAATTCTCCTGAATATGTATTTCATTGTCAGTCAAGAGTACTTTCAGCCACATTTGCTAGGTAAAATATTATTTTGCTGAAACATTCGTGTTGGTACTAATTATAGCATTTTGTTTTATGTAGATTTCATCCAAATTTAATTTTAGGAAGTACTTATTCTGGACAAATAGTTTTGTGGGATAATCGAGCACAGAAGAAAACTCCTATTCAAAGGACACCATTATCAAATACTGCTCATACTGTATGTTTTAATTTATTTAAAATAAGTTTCTATACTATTTAAAATAATCCTTTAGAAAATGTTTTCTTTTCCTGACAAATCAATAAAAAAGTTTTTAATCCAATCTTCAATATTTCCTTAACTGTAATTTTAAAATTAATTGATTTATTCTCAAAAATTTGAGAACATTATCAGTGTTTGTTCATTGATCTTTTTTTTAACATTAATTCAATTATGTTAATAATTAGTAAATAGAAGATAGGTTCTGATAAATTCAAAGTTACTATGTTGTGTGTGGATAGAGATAAAGAAAATAAATAGTATACTAACATTCTCTTAAATTATTTTGTAACAATTTTTATTTAGCATCCTGTGTACTGTATCCAAGTTGTGGGTACACAAAATGCGCATAATCTCATTAGTATTTCAACTGATGGGCGTTTGTGTTGCTGGAGTTTAGACATGTTAACTCAACCAGTTGAACGTCTTGATTTAACTGCCAAACAGTCTAAATCTGTGTCTGTATCTGCTTTCGCCTTTTTGCATGATGATGTTAATAAATTTGTGTTTGGTAGTCAAGAAGGAGCAGCATATTCTGGTCAGTTGTAATTAACCATTTATTTTTTATAAGCCTAATCATGGAATTTCATGTTTCATTTAGCTTGTAGACATACAAAAAAAGCTGGTGTAGTTGAGAGTTATGAGAGTCATATTGCACCAATAACAGCTATTGATACTCATTGTGCTGTTGGAAATACTGATTTTAGTCACTTATTCTTAACAAGTTCAATAGATTGGACAATTAAATTATGGAACATTAAGGTTCAGTATTATTTTGTTTGAATTTTTATATTTTTATATTTAAATAATTATTAAAATATTAATAAAGGAATCCAAACCAATTCACTCATTTGAAAACAACAATGATTATGTAAGCAGTGTTGCTTGGTCTCCTGTACACCCAGCTGTATTTGCTGCAATTGATGTTACTGGTCGTTTAGATTTATGGAATCTTAACAATAATACAGAATCACCAACAGCTAGTACAGTTCTTGATAACTCACCATTATTAAAGAGTCTTATGTGGTCACAGAATGGAACTCATTTAAGTGTTGGTGATGAGTATGGCAAAATATCTGTATTTCAAGTTGGAGAGGTTTGTATTAAATTTATTTATTAAGTACGTATGACATATTGTAGTGTGGTTTCAATATAAATATGTATTCATGATTAAGTTTCTAGTATAAGAATAAAGGAATTTAAAAGTTTGTAGAAATTATAATGTATATAAAAATATGTAATGTAATTAAATAAAAAAATTGAAACTTGGAGTTAAAGGGTGTATGCAATGTTTATAGAAAAAAAAAGACTAACAATTAATAATTCAAAATTGTATTATACTATATAAATATAATATGAAAAATCATTATGATTTATGATTGTTAAATTATTACTCTCAAAAACAGTAGTGGGTTAACCTCGTTAACATAAAAAATAAGAAAATTTACCTTAGTTTTTTGAAAACTTTTATGATGAATATTTTTTCATTTATAAAATTGTTATAATTTGTTTTTTTAAATATAGCAAATGACTCAGCCAAGACATGATGATTGGTCCAAGCTTTCTAACACACTTCAAGAGTTAAAGAGTAACCAGACAGATGAAATGGACAAATCTATTAACTATAGTTCAGGCTCAGTTTCTTCAGTTTTTTCTAGATCTTCTAGTATTTTGATGAAATAATTACTTTAATAAATAATAAGTAATATTATATTTAAGATATGTCATGTTAGTATTACAGACATGAATCAATTTACAATCCATATATTTATATATAAAAAAACAGATACTTATTTTATTTAATTGCATTATTTAAAAATTAATTTACCTTGTCTAACTAATTTATTTAAATTTTTAAACTTAATTTAATTTGAACATAATTAATTTGTTTGATAATGTACTGAATATAATATTATCATTGATGTTATAAAACATTTTTGAATTTAACTGTGTATTTTAATTATTTTCTAAATATAAATATATAGACTAAAAATTGTTTTCTTAAAATCTATTAAAAATTCAGTATGAAAATACTCAGAAATGTATTGTGCTTATATTTACTTATTGTACTCAGTAAAATTATAAACATCTGGACATTTTTAAATGTGCTCCTTTAAGCTCTTTCAAAAACTTAAAAAAGTTAAAAATTAAAAGGATTCCAACTGAATATTACTAGTTTATAGTAATTATTAATACTCTGTAAAAATTCCATTACAGCCAAGTAAAACTCTTTTTTTAAATAATCCCTTATCAGGTAACAAACTGTACTATCTATTCCAACTTCTATGTGCAAATAGTAGAAGACAGCAATCGTCCATCCTTCTATACATTGTCTTTACTACTCCTCACTTAAAAATCGCTAGGTAATATCTGTTTATGAATAAATTATTTGAAAGAACTATACTTGAGAATTCTATTTTTTATTTCAAAAGAAAATGTTACAATGACTTATTATTGTAACATATTAGAAATTAGTAATAAGTGACAAAAATTTATAAAAAAAAAAAAAACCAAAAAATATGCTTATTTTATAAAAGTAACATTTAGATTGTATATGAATATTTTACATGTAATATTTAGGACCACATTTTATGTTACTATCAATAAATTTGCTTATTGTATTTGTCTTTTGTGTTACTTTTGATACATGCTTTATACAATTTTTTGGTTTTCTAATGTTTAATATTACTTATAAGTGTGTAATGTATATACAATATACACTTAACATATTCACAAGACAAATAAATAGACAAGGTATTCAATTTTTTCATTATGTAAGAATCATTTTTGTGGCTTTACATTTTTTTTTTTTAATAATCGTACATTGCTATAGATATCTAATGGAAAGTTGTGGAAATCTCCTTCCTCTCATGGCATAACTTAATATTATAAAATATTAGTACCTATTTTAAAATCTGAGCAAGAAAGAGAGAAAGGGGAAGTCTGAAGAAGAAAATTGAAAATTAAACGAAAATGAATTGAGTATTTAAGTATATATATAAAAAAATAACATACAATTTTTGTCAATAATTATTAAGTATAATAGTAAATAGTAATATGTATAATATATAAACTAATAGCCAATAGGTATATAATTGCTGTAAAATAATGGAAAATATTATTAATAATAATTAATATTTTAAAGTTTATAGTTAATGTTATACCTACTTATATAAAATTATCAAAAGTATAAGTTGCATTAAATGTCGAAAATTATTTAAAATATAAGAATATCTATATATTAACATAATTTTTATATTAATATGTCACAAACCTACTCATATGGTTTAAATTGATCTATAATAATTATTATATAAAAAAAAAAAATGATTTAAGGTCAATATAAATTTTAATTGTGTTCTATCATTGTCTGATTTTTGTTAGCGCTGGTTTATTGCATTTTGAAACAATTGTTTTAAAATAACTTAACAAAATTATACCTAAAAATGTGATTACAATATTTTAGTAATATATTTATTTTCAAGTAAGGTATTGAAAGAAATGGTATACTGTACCTATCAAGTTGTCCGTTTGGATTTTTTTATATTTTAAATAATTTTCTATATTTTATTATACAAAATTTGAGGTAACTTATATTTTTAATTATTTTAAAAATTATATAATTATATAATTGCTATAATTTTACAAAAATTATATATCAATGTTATTTTGTTTATAATTTTTGTTTTGACCGAAAAGGGAATCGACCTATTTTAAATTTGGTTGAAAAGGGAAGGGTACGTTTTTGGTCGAAAACGGTCTCGCCCATTTATATAAACATATTTTTATCAATAACACAATTGCGGTAGTAGAATATTTCTATGGGTTTATTGTTTAATTCAAAATAGATTTTTGCTGTCACATAAATATAATGAAAACAAAAAAGCAATTAATATTGGTATGCGGGATCTCATAACATAATTATTTCTAAATAGTCATATTCAATTTTTCATAAATAATTTTTAAAGATATTGTACAAATATTTCATCTTTGAACTACTATGCCCAGAAAATCTAGTTTAGTTTGATAAATACTTTGAAGTTCGAAAATTGAACAATACCAGATGCTTGATAGTTCGGTTCGACATAATAATTAATTTATATTTTGGATATTTAACCCCTAAACCCTTTATATCTAAACCAAAACCATTACTTAAAAATTAGGTAAATAAAAAAAAAAACAATATAAGAACAAAAAAAATGAAAAGTAAAAGCTCATTTTGATGTCACTACAGAGTTGAGAGTACAGAGAATGAAATAAGAATTCTGAAATCTGAATTATTATTTATTATTAAAATAATATTTTAATTTTAAATTTGTAAAATTTTTTCGGTTGCTTTTTTCCGTGAGCATTTTTCTACGATTTAAATGGTACAGTTTGCTACACTGCAATGTCATATGTTATCTAACACTACTATACAAAAAAAAAAAAAATATTTTCTATGTAACGCCAAGGCTACATAAGTGATAGGCTATACGTAAAATTTATTTCTTTTATTTTCAGTTTTCACATTAAGTGCGTGCTTGTTGTAAACTTTTAACTTTATAAGTTTAAGGTACCAAAAAAATTCAAAATGGTTATGCCAGGAATGAGTATAGAAAGCTTAAAAAAACACAAGTCCGTAAGTACCTAATTTAATTTAGGAAGTTCGATATAATATTTATTTCAAATACTTCAATGCTCTATGTAGTTTATTACAAAGGTCAAATATAAAATCATTATTAAACACCAAATTTTTACAATTTTTTTTCAGTTAATCCCATTATTTGTTTGTCTGGGTGCTGGTATGGTTGGTGCTGGTTTTTATTTGACTCGACTAGCAATGAAAAACCCTGAAGTGACATGGCATCCTAAGAAAAATCAAGAGCCATGGGAAGAATATAAACAAAAAACTTACAAAGTATGTTAATATTCTGTAAATATAATGTTGCTTACAAAATTTACAAACTTACATTTAATTGATTGGTTTCTCTTTGGAAATTACTTAATTTGATTGTAGTTTTTGGTTTAAAATCAGTTATAGTTTTTGGTTATTTATCAAACAAGCAATTGATAATTTAAATTTTAACATTTTTTTTTTTAAAAAAGTATCTACAATAAATTTAAAAAAGAACACTTTTTGATAGAACACTACCTACATGTATATCTCCTTACAAATGTACAACATAGCAAATTTGGATTCAGTAGAACATTTTAAGTTATTCTATTCAATAATTTAGTATTTAATTTATGTATCAAAGTTCAGATAAATAAATTACAGAATTTTGGTCATTTTTAGTATAGATAGCAGTAGCCTAATATTAAATGTAAATTAACATTTTTGTCAGTTTTTGGTATTTCTGAACGATATTTTTGGTATAAAAGTATACTATCCAAGGTTTAACATTTTGATATTGATTTTTATCATAGTAATATGAAAGATATTTTGTGCGAATAAATCAAAACAATTACATTAATTATATTAAAATTATTAGGAAACTAAAAAGTAAACATTAATAGTTATTAATTTTTTTTAGACAAAATTCTTCATGTTTAGTTTTAAATGGCCTTAGACTAAATTTAATTATTCAATAAAAAAAGAAATTCCAATTTAAGATAAAAAATAACAATTGGGAATTTAATCTTTGAAGATCAGTTCATCTTAATAATCTTAAAAGCTTGAGGTTTTACCTGACCTATAAATATTGAATTTAATTTGTAAATATACTATACCTACTTATATTATGGTCTTCTTTACATCTGCAGGAGTGGTAAAAAAATTATGTTTCCTTAGTGGTAACATCGTCATGGATATAAATTATGTGCAACAATATTTTACTGCTTCTGCAGCAGTTTAATTTCATTTTAAATATAATATTTAACTAATAACTAAATATATTGTTTTATTTGTTTTAGTTTTATTCTTCAAGCTCAGAACCTCCAGTAAGTCCAGCTCCTAAATATTAGTATTTCACTAATCAACATCGATAATGTTTGATGGGTTATGTAAAATTAACATAGTGTTATGAATATTTTTGCCGTGTTATCTATATTAAATAAAGCATTGATGTTAAAATGTAATTAGATATTTAAATATAAAAACATTATATTTATACAAACTTTATTTATTTGACATCGGTGAATTTTGTGTGATAGTTTTGTAGCTTTTTTCAAAAAATATTGTCTAGAAAAAATATTATTTAACTTTATAAATACATTTTTATAAGCAAAATAATGTTTCTTTCAATATTTTTCATTATTTACAGCATATTATTATTCATTTATATTTAAACATCAAATAATTACATTTCTTTGCATTAAAATATTTTAATGAATTATCAATTTAATAACAAGTTGATAATTGGTTATGTTGATACCTTTTCTGTGGGTGTAGGAAGAGATAGTCAATAACATAATTGAAAAAGTGGTCATACTATATAGTCAGAATTTCAGAAGTATATAGGTTATATACTTAACAAACTGACATTATAATTTATGCTAAAAACCTGTAGTTTAATTGACAAATATACATATTTTGCATATACATGTAAAAAACTACAACATTAATATTAAGTTTTTAATATTAAATTTTTATATATTTGAATTTCAATAATTTTAAATTATTCTCCAACTAATATTGGTACTGTTTATAGAAAGGTCTGAAATTTAGATTTATTTTAATGTGCGATTATTAAATATAAATGTGTAGAAAAAAAATAACACTATGAGTTTCAGATGGTGTAAGATAAACAACGAGAGTGTAATAAAGTTTAAATTAGCATGTCAATATATGCTTATCTATCACAGCTGTATGGGTATATGAATTGTAGTTATAGTATCAATCACGGTCTTAGAAGATCTAAGACCGTGGTATCAATACTACAGTAGAATAAGTTCTAAATTATTGAGTGACGACCATTATTTGTCAGAAACTTAGATAACTCTGATAAGTGATAACTAAAACAATTATATCTGCATCGGGCATATTATACAATATACTATTATCTGCATTTAATGATAAACTATGTTTTATTTAAAAAAAAATAAAAGATATATAATAATGATGTACCTACTACCTAGGTATCTTAGATATCTACTGTCCAATGTTCATCTTGTGTGTACAGTTCATGGAGGCATAGAGTAATAATATTACTCAAGGGTAGTGTAATAACTAATAATAATATATGCTGACCAGTGACCACGAACCACATAGCAAATGGAATGTGTGTGTGAAAAAAAAAAACTAACTTTTAGTTTGTGACACGGATGTGTAAATACTATAATATCTATAAATCGTGATTCGTAATTCTGACATATCATTGCATATTATAGCTTAAATATAAATGAATATAAAACGTTCAAGTTGTCGTACACAGATAACGGTGAATTCCAACATAACTCTTTAATCTTTCAGTCTTTTATAAATCATCATTGATGAAAGGAACGGCTTGTATTGTAAATATTTCATAGAAACGTGTTAGTGACAATGAGGCACAAGACGTGTGACTTTCTTGTGTGCCATCAGAAGTTGGGGAAGACCGAACAAGGGTCTCTACCGCCAAAAATAAGGCTAGTTCCGTGGAATGCAGAGGTCTTTGATGAAGCCACCAGCTTCTGGTTGGATTGACCATTTTGCCTCTTTCGTCAGAGCATGTGCACTTCGAACAACACCTCTCAACGTCTCAACACAGGATTCTGCGAGCGACAACTGGACTTTTCTTTTCAAGAAACTAAACCAGTGTTATTTTTTATTTGTGTTATCTTAGTTTTTCCTAAAAAGCATAATATATTCACCAGTGGCGGATTAAGCAATTTGCCGCTTACAAGCAGGGTATTTGCCGCCCTTTCATTTTATACTTTTTTTTAAAACAAAATACATATAGAAATACTTTGTTAGTTTAATAATTCTTTATTATATTAAATTTAATACAATCGTCAAATATTATATAATAAATTTATTAAAATATTTTTGTTCGGCTTTTTAGGTTAGCGAATGTTTCGATTAGGTCTTGAAAATCAATTGTCGACACTAATTCAGATTCGATGCAAAGAAGAGCCAAACTATTTAATATTTATTTTTGAAACGTTCATTGCGGATTATCTTACAATACACATTCCTATATTACCTAAATGCTACCTATATTAATATATTATAATATAATTTCGCACACTAAACACCACGGAGTTAGGTACAATAATACAAATAAGAAATGCCTATTGGCGCACAAAAATAATACAACTGCGATTCGTGACTGTGATATCTCAAATAATTTTAAAACATCTAATATTATAAAAAAAAAACGTCGATTTGCGACTACGAATCGATCGATGGCGAAGTGGTACGAGGGCGATATTATATAATTGATATAACTTAATTAATATTATTTTATTCAAGCGTCGGCTGAGACACATTGTATTGTAAAATATTGTGCGGATGACGCCAATTTATTGGCAGGTTAACCTAACCGCAGTGAACGTGTCATCAAAAATTAAAAAAAAAATATATTTATTTTATAGAAATATAGAGTAAATTGTTTTTACCTGTTTTTAAATTTGTGAAAAAAGTATCGAGTTATCTTATTTTTTGAATAACCCTTTTCTCTTTTTCTTCATGCTTTTCTCGCAGCTTTTTGTATCTTGCACCACTTTTCCTTTTTCTACCATTACTCATTGTGATGTAATAATTTGAAGAATCATAATAAAAATGAATAAAGACTCGTACACAAGTTGCACTGTCTCAGTGTCGCGGTATACTAATAAGCAGAATAATGTTATGATAAGGATTAAAGAATATGTATAACATTCTTTGTAATTGTAAGTAATAGAATCACGAAAATAAAATATAATTGACAAAAACAACGTCGTATCGGCTATCGCCATAATGTATAATATGTGTAAACATATATTTATAAACGGTTTCTGAAAAAAACATAGATTCGCTAATAATAACAATTACAGTTGATCGCATTCATTGAAACCATTCCAGTATCTTACTGAGTTAATAACCTAGTTGCTAATACTCATTACAGTCATAACTAAGTCATAAGACATTATAATATAATTTTATAAATACATTTTTTTCTTAAGTGCGGCAAATTTGCCGCCTTAACAAATTTGCCGCTCCAATCACCTGATTGTTTTGCCTGTAGGGTAACCCGACGCTGATATTCACTGCTGCGAATTTGGTAAATTGCATGATTATAATACATACTACATATTTTTATTATAGTTTATAAATTATATTTACATTACGGTGTACCTACTTCATCAAATTCTCAGCTACATGACTTCGAGAAATGAGAACCCTTCGAAAATCAAGAGGAACTAGGAAGGTAATAACGTACATTTAATATTAATATCTGCTGATTATATTTCCCAGCGCTTATCTGTGTATAATATATAAACATATTATTATTTTCCAGATCCATTTCTCTTTTATTTATCCCTCCTATTTTTCTCGTTATAACAGTAAAGTCTGAGTACATGCCCGATGCCGAGATTCTAACATTAAAATACCAATCTTAAAGTTAGGTAGCACTAAAATTAAAATTAAATTCACAAAATATTTACCTTTTTATTTAAAATGGGAAGCTACCAATGAGTATAGGGGAAACTACTAGTCAGGCTATAGCCTGACCTAATGCTTTCGGGTTATCTACCTCGGAAATAATTTACCTAGATAGAGTATAGGTATTAAAAAAAAAAAAGATGGAGTAGGTACATATAGGTACATAATAATATATCATATAAAAAAATTGTATTTAAAGTAAAACTTAAATTTCGTTTTTGTGGTTATTTTCCCAAAGTGTAGTAACGAAACGATAAATATTTATTTTTTTCACTGTTAAATTATTTATATTAGCTTCTTCTAATTTTCTCTTAATAAGTAAATTATAAGAAATAATGATTGGTTTTTAAAGTAGTTTACTAAAATTAAAAAAAATAATCTTTATTTTTAGGTATTTTTATCTCTATTTTAATTATTTGTCTATACTAATATCAATATATTATAGCAAGGTCATAGCTAGGAATTTTCTATGAGGAGGGTCCAGTTTCATAGATAAGAATTTACCAATTAACACACTACATTAAATCATAATTTTTTTTTTATTCATATCATCAATGTATTACTTAATGATACATTTATATATTTAAAATAGATATAAATCTGATCTTTACATACAATACTTTTAAGCAAAACTTTAGTTATAATTTATTTATTCCAACTATCTTATCTGTCATTATCTAAAGCAGTTATTATTTTATTGATGATGTTTTGTTTGAATAAATATTCAAAAATTCTTCTGCTTTTGTAACTAAAAGTTTATAGTAGTCAAATGTTGCATGTTCATTAAATTTCTGAAATATTTCTAAATGACATATTTTGAAAACCAACCAGTTATAACTACTAAACCATTGATGTTAAATCTTTAGTTTCCTTCTTTTATTTTGATTTAATATTTGATATGTAGTAGGAGTAATCCATGGTTTTACAAGAATTTATTGAAGATTATTATGTTAACTTTTATAATTTACTAGATGCTTTTTCTCTTCAGTCAAATTATTATTAGTATTTACAAACAACTCAAAATTAATATTTCAAGGATCAATAACCTTTAAAAAAAACTTAGATATTAGGCAATATATGCATTGGCAAGCTAAGAAAGTGAATTAATAAGTTATTAGCTATTAAGAAAATAAAAATTCAATGAAAATGTTATTTCAGATTTAAATAGATAGACGATAGTAGGCTTTTTTGAACTATATTTGAATATATACTAGATCAGATGATGATGCATTTTCTTGAAAATTCGGCAACAAAAGCTAGGAGCAAAATTATAGCACGTTTGCACGTTGATACTTAAAATAAAAGTAACGTCGCTGTTATCAGTGATACTATACTCTAAATATTAAATTTATTATATAATATTAAGTATTTATTCAATTAAAAATGGTTTAAAAAATAAACATTTTAAATTTTAGAATATAGGTACTAGAAATGTTTACATTTTCTACTTTGTTAAAAGGGTGGTTTGACCCCCCCCCCTTCTGTAGTTAG